AGTAGGAGTTGGGTGTGCGCAGGAGCAATGGGCTCATCTCAAACTATGACTTTGCAAAGAGGCTTTCCAAGTTTAGCCGGCCCTGTTGAAGAACATTGGGTAGGCTTAGCGATTGCTTTCACGATGGGATGGGTTCCGTGGCTCGCACCGATCTGACCCTCCCTAGACTCAGTTGTCTGCCCACCAGCACTTCTCTCTATCAAAACAGGAAATGACTTGAAATGAAGCAATGTTAGTTCTATTATTATATTTCACTATAGCTGCGCTCTCTGCTTAATCAGCCCTGCTCTGCCAAGGGTTTGAAAAATTCCACTTGTGGCATGAAATACTGTCTATTAATACTCTAAGCAGCAGATAAAAATATTTTGTTTATATGCTTTTAAGATGGATGATGAATGGACGGATGGATAGATTTTGAAAATATTATCATGAGTGTGTTGTTTCTTTTTATAGTCCTTAAAAATGGATTCTCATCTAAAATTACTATTTAGTTTCCACAGAGTAGTAAATGTGCTATTCACTGAGAGACTCAGTCACATGAGCAGAGACCCTGCCTGGGTCAGTGGACCAGTTAGGTTGGCCCAGCACCTGGCCCCAGACTTCCAGGTCACCTTGTTAATGAAATACTTACAGGGCCTCACAAGGTCAGATCTCTGGTAGCCTTTTAATCCAAATAGTGCCTGCTGGGAGACAGCAGTTCAGCAAATCGCTTTTAGAAGTCTCTAATATCTGCTTATCTGATTGCATTAAAATAAACAGATTGCCTCAAATCTTCAGAGGCTCAATATTGAATACATAAACTAATTATTCTGTAGGTAAAATATTTGTTTAGTATTTATGTAGGATGACAAGGAAAACCAGATTTTTCTATCGTTACAAAGTATACAATTCAGAATTACTTGGTTATTTTGTTTCTCTAACAAAATCTTCCCTCAAATGTTCAGAACAAAATTCACGTTTGGGCAAGTGCAGTGCACACACCCATCTGGGGTGGGGTGCACAGTGACACACGCACACACACACACACGCACACACACACACGCACGCATACACAGAACTTGTATCCTACAGTCTGTGTGTCCGTGTGGTTTTGGTTAAGCCAAGTAACTGGTAGGAGATAGGAAGGCATAATTTATAGATGCCAGGAGGTGGCATCACACTGTGTTTGGTTTTAGAATTTTAAAAAGGCTTCATGTGCACATTGCCAAAATATTCAAAAGAGGGAGGTGAGCACTTGTGGGGAGGGTGGTCCCCCCACCCCAAGGTTCATCAGCTTCTGTGGGAACCTGGCGAACTTGCTCTTCCTTTCCTAGCTGTGTAGGAGTGTGGTTGACCAGCCCAGTGTTGCTTTAGTGTCCCTCGTGGGTTGTTTCCCCTGGAGAGTTGCCTGGGAATCTTGACCCATGGCCTGGCTCTGACCACTCCATCCTTTATGAAGGAGCCAAATCATGTGTCAAGGGAACGGGAGGCATGGGTGTTGGCAGGTGGTGCCAAGCCTAGATATAACCTTTGTGCTGGGGTGGGAGGTGGGGCATGTGAGAAATGCCTTTCAGTCTATTCCTAGCAGGTGTCACAAAGATTTCCCAAGCTGTTACGGAGTAAGTCTATAGGCTCTTTTTCCTACTCAAGGCTATTTGCAAATAACCAAACACAGGAAATAGCCAGGAAATGCTGTTCACCCACAACAGAATGGAAATGGTTCCTCTTCTTGGGGTAGGTGTGAGGTTTGGGTTTTTCTAGGTGGGGTTAGGAGGAGGTGTGACATGCATGTTGTCAGCTCTCCAAACGGTCCAGGAGTCAGGGTACCATCTCTTTTCTGCCCTAATTTGGGTACGGTGAGATTTGTCACAGTGCTGGTGTGTTTTGAGTGCACTGTCTCAGAAACGTAGATGGACAAGTTTGTGTATTTCCACAAAGTCAGAAATCACCAAATAATAAGACATTAATAAAATCCATCAGTTTCATTGCCAACAGTTTGCCACGTAGTCTTGGTTTTCTTTGGGGGCTGTTCTAGTTTGTTTCTCTGGAGTGTTTGTTCAAAACACGCTGACCGATACCAACCTGGGGAGGAAAGGGTTTATTTGTCTTACGTCTCCCAGGTCACAGTTCATCAGGGAGCCCAAGGTAGGAACTCAGGGCAGGAACCTGGAGGCAGGAGCTGGAGCACAGGCCATGGAGGAACTCTGCTTACTGGCTTGCTCCCCTGGCCCCTGCTCAGCCTGCTTTCTTATACAACACAGGCCCACCTGCCCAGGGGTGGCACCACCCACAGTGGGCTGGGCCCTCCCGCATCACAGTCAAGAAGATGCCCTTCAGACACCGCCACAGGGCAGTGGAGGAAATTCTCCAAGTGAGGCCTCTCCACCCAGGTGTGTCAGGCTGACACTAAAGCACGCAGCACACTGGCCGTTGGCAAACACAGTTCTTTTATTCTGATCTTAATTACAAATATTCACGCCTAGATCACATGTTTTACATGACATAGTAATTATATCTATATGGAGGTTTCAGAATGGCTACAAAATGGTTTAAAATGTCCACAGCAGACTTCAAACGGTTCAGAAGTCTTCCTGGAGGCAGAGGAAGAGCATCAATGCAGATACAAAGACATCAGTGTCCAGGCAGGGGCGGGGGACGTTAGGTAATGCCACAGAGGCAGGCCAGATTGCAGGATCGAGCCCAGGGAGATTGAGTCTAGCAGTGAAGGTGTCATACAGGACCGTGGGGGTCCTAGAGGAGAGGTGAGATGGACAGACAGGTGGATGGACAGAGGCAATTTATGCAGGTCCTCAGCAGTAGGGATTGGACTAAACGGAAGCACAGGTCCTGGGGAGCTCTCTACCTGTTGGTCCTTCATCTACACACTGAGTGGTCAGATGACAAGTTGGTGGTGGCCATAACCACTGCAGTGGCAGATGCCCTTCTCTTTAGGAGGGTCTAGGAGAGGGTGTTGCATTTTTCCTTGGTCTTGTATGTGTGATAAGTTCTTGGGCCTGATTTTTCTGATACGAGTTTAATCCATCCATGTGCTCACACGGTCCCAATCTACTTTGGTAAGTTTATAGGTGGTATCTTCTTGCTTTTAGGAACCAGTCTGTGCTTCATGATTGATGCTGGGCAGGTGGTGCTGTTTATGTGGGGAAAAGAAGTGCAGAGTCATGCTGCCTGTTTTCTCTCTGTAAAATGGAGCCGTCACCCAGGGCAGGGCACAATCAGAAAAACCCGTTTTGTACACTGTGGCGTAGCTTAGAGCAGGGCACAGCCTGATCCTAACATGACGGATGTGCTTTTTATCATTTTAATGATATCATAATGAGCTCAAAGTCATCTGGCGTGTCAGCAAGGGGCCTGACCCCATATAGCTGGTCTGGAGTTCCCCTAGCAGGGGGTAACTGGGTGTAGGCAGCTGGAAGCAGTACTTATTGGCATCTGTTTAACTTATTGCATCTCTAAGCAACCAGACTTGATAGGACCATGGGCTATCAGTAATTTTGTGGTTTAGGCTGACGATGAAGCCTTTTTCTTGTCTAGGTATTTTAAAGTATTCTCTGTAGGCACAAAGAGACAGAGGTTAATGAAGGAAAATCAAGGGTGTGAGAGTTTGAGAATATTGGCAAGAGAGTGACTGGTATGGTGGTGATGATGCCGTGTGGGGAGGTGCCTGAGAGGAAGCGGGAGAGTGCCTGGGAGAGCCAGGGGGCACTGCAGTGGGCCTAAACAAGTTGGAGAAAGAGGAGCTGGTGGTACAGGAGACCTCCTGATACCACTTCACAGATGGAGTGATGCCCGGCCTGGAACAGAGCTACGGCGGACAGATGTGTCAGCAGAACAGATGTGGTAGCCTAGAAGTTACAGAGTAAAGGAATTTGAGGCTCTCAGAGTGAATATCATTGTCACCTAAGACAGTGGTATGGGTTGTATGAAGTCAGGGCAATGTGAACCAGATGCATTTGTTCAATGTAATGTTGCACAGTTAAGGTTTTAGTTTTAAACAAATAACTGAAATACATGAAATCAGAAGGTTATGTTTCTGGCATAGAAAGACTATTTTGACACTGATATCAGGGCTCAGAATTCAAATGCTTATCTTAAAAATTTATCTTTAACAAAAATCGTAGGTAAAAGCCCCAGTTTTTAAAACCACAGATGCACAACTAAAAATGAGTTGAACAGACAGAGCCCTTGTGATCAACACATCTAATATTGTGATTCGCAGTAGACTCTTAAATGGTCCTGTTAAATACTACATTGATGCCCCTTATTTCATGCATTTGTCCTCTGACACATTGGTCACTGAGAGCTTGTGAAATCAAGTGTCATGTCAGACACCGAATCTCCCCACCTAGTCCTGTGCGCGAAGGCGGTTGACACTTTGATTTACTAATGTCTTTAAGATTTTGGGTTCCATTTTCATCTTTGGGATGTTTTTGGCTCTGCATCTCAAAAGCTCTTCTGTTTACGGTGTGTAGTTGGGAATCCAGACGTTCGTTGTGAATTTAAGGATTAAATTGTGTCCTCTTTCCGAGTGGCCGTTGCCCCTTACACTGAAAGCCTCAGGGCTCGTTCCGAATGGCTGGGGATTCTTGTGGAGCACATTCTAGCTTCTCTTCCTGCGGGATGTCTGACTGACACTTCTATTCTGAACTATTGTGTGCTCGGGATAGCTTACCTGTCAGGTTAAAAAAGCTGTTGGTTCCCATCGCTAGAACCCCAAAGAGCTAAAAAAATAAAACGAAACAAAGAATTCAACCTCTCATCTTGGCTGCACTTTCAATTTGGATACCTGAAAGAAAGTGAGACTTTGTGGTTTAGAACAGAGATTGACCTTCCCGTACCTACGTGTGCAAGGCTGGTACATATGCAGCTACGCCAACAAAAGCCAGGTGTCTAACACAAGCTCCTTTGGCCCTGGTAGCTGGTGCATGTGAGTGACCTTTTCTAACTCCTTCCCCGGGATGAGGTAAAGTTGCCCCTCACAGATTTGCTTTTCTTTCCTGCAGGACATTTGTGAAGATATTTCTGACCACGTTGAACAAATTCATGCTCTCCTTGAAACGGAGTTCTCCCTGAAGCTGCTGTCCTACTCGGTCAACGTCATTGTGGACATCCACGCGGTGCAGCTCCTCTGGCACCAGCTCCGGGTGTCTGTGCTGGTTCTCCGGGAACGCATCTTGCAAGGCCTGCAGGACGCCAATGGCAACTACACCAGGCAGACTGACATTCTGCAAGCTTTCTCCGAAGAGACAAAGGAGGTGAGTGGGCTCTGAAGGCAAGTGTGCGTTCTCAAGTGTTTCCATTTGAAAATATTTCCGGTTTAGAGATGTGAGAATGAGCTTTTAAATAGGTAAGTGAACAGGTGCTGAGCTGGGCCTTGGATCTAGGTGTCGTGACTGTAAGTTAGGGCACTTCTGATGTGAAGGGGGCTTTGACGTACCAAGTAGTTTACATAGATGCCATTCATAGATAATGTTAATACTTCCTGACTTCCTGTCCCCTCTTCAGTTATTTAAAACATATTTGTTGAGGACTTGCTGTGTACAGACATTTGGTGCTAAAATATGATCAAAACATCATTCCTACTTTTGAGGAGCTTTGGCCCTAGTAGGGAATCGAGGTTAATAAACTAAGGCCAAAGTGTGATAAGCCTTCAAGGTGCAGTTGGAGACCAGAGAAAGAGACATCAAATCGAAAGACTTTCCAGAATGAGTCTAACCTGAGCCCTGAAGGGGAGGTGGGACTAGACAGGTGAATAGGAGCAGAAAATGATCTAGGCAGGGTAATGGCAGGAGCAGGACCAGGGGTAAGACAGGGGCCCAAGAAAAAAGCTGGGGGCAATTGGAAGTAGGGCTTGGCAAGGAGCTAACAGAAAAGCAGATTATAAAGATAAGCTTCTGAAGCCATAGCAAGAGAATTGGACCTTATTTTGAGGACAGGATAAGCGTTTCCTAACAGGAATGTTAGGATTAACTGCCTGCCTTGGAAAAATTACTCTGGATGTAGCAAATCAAATGAGAATTGTTGGAACATTATATAATCAATTAACTTTATTTTTCTTGTGCACGATATGAGTACTTTGAATCATTCATTCATTCATTCATTCATTCATTTTATTTATTTATTTATTTATTTATTTATTTATTTATTTATTATTCATTTCTTGGTCTTTTTTGAGACAGGATCTCCCTGTAGTCCCAGCTGCCCTGGAACTTACTATGGAGACCAGGCTGGCCTCTAATTCACAGAGATCTGCCTGCCTCTGCCTCCTGAGTGCTGGGATTAAAACATACACCACCACATAGCCTGACTCATTCCTTGTTTTTTGTTTTCTTTTGTTTTTTTTTTTTACTTTTTATTGTTTTTATTTTATGTGTATGAGTGTTTTGCCTGCATGTATGTTAAATGCATCTGTGTCACACAATGCCCCTGGAGGCCAGAAGAAGGCATTGGATTCCCTGGAACTGGAGTCATGGATGGTTGTCAGCCCCTTATACACATGCAGGCAATATGCTCACACACATAAAAAGTAACAAATTAAAGATTGTGAATCTCATTATTGTTCCCTTAAAATTGCACAAGCTGTGACTTTTATTTGTATGGCTCACTCCTGGATGTTCTGGCTTCTGATTTTGATATTTAAGAAGCCTGTTCTGGGTTTGAAGCACAAAAACCACACATTTCCACTTAGAACATTTTTTTTTTTTTTGAGATTGGGGTTAATCTTGATCTGTCTGTGCAGATACTTCAGTGTTAGAAGCAGTTCATCTTGGTGATAACCTTCTTCTTCAATGTACTTTAGTACTAAAATGAGTAATACAATGAGTAACAAGAGTAGCAGACTGAACATCGCTGTAGCACTTATCCATGTTCCACACTTTCATCTTATGTACTTTTAGCATCTCAACATCTCTGTGACTAGGCTTATTATTTTGTTTTTAAAATTGTATTTTTATTTTATTCTCTCTGTCTCTCTGTCTCTGTCTCTCTGTCTCTGTCTCTGTCTCTCTCTCTGCATGCATGTGTGCCATGACATATATGTGGTAGTCAGAGGTCAACTTTCAGAAGTCAGTTCTCTCCTACCATGTGGGTTCTGGGGATCAAATTCAGGTTGTCAGGCTTGGCACTGAGCCATTTCACTGACCCTCTTTTTTTTTTTTTTAAATGAAAGAAATGAGACTTAACAACATCAGACTACTGGCCTGTCATCACACAGCTAGTTAGTGCTAGAGCCAGACCATGACTTTATTAATCATGGTGTCAAGCAAAAGTACATAATCAGAGGAAGAAATTACACAAAGGTGGAGAGAGACAGTCCAACATATCCCTGCCTGTTCATTCCACGGCTGCGCCTTTGAGCCTCACTCTGTGCAGGCAACACATTTTCTGTGTGGTTCATAAGCTCATGGTGCTTACGTGCAGAAGGAGGAATAAATTAGTCAAATATTCACAATAGCGATTATTTACATGGAGATGAATGCTTAAAGAGAAATTAGCAGAGATTTAAGATTCTTACTCTGAATATTTCTGACTGAGGTTGTGTAAAAACTTTGGCTAATCTCTAAGGGACAAGGAAGAGTAAGATAGTAGAGACGATGTTGATAGGAAGCTTTCAAGATAGGAAACAGGAGTATGGCGTTCTGAGGAGGGAGGGGACCTGGTATGATCAGAAACTGAAAGGAAGACATTATGGTTGGGTACCCGGGGTGGGGGATGAAGGAGGGGAGAGGGTTACGTGAGAGAGGCCTATTCCTGCCTGCCTTCAGGGGGTTTGGAGTTTGGGAGATGGGGTAAGAGGTGGGGAAGGAATCTCATACGTGGTACTGGGATTTTAAGTAGGATTTTTTTTTCAATCGAACAGCCCAAGGAAGCTACTAAGAATTTTACGCAGAGAAATAACAGCACTGATTTGCAATTTTTAAAGGTTCCTGTGCTGTCAGCATAGAGCACAAATCTGAGGAACAGACATGTCAGTTTAAAAGATTATACCAGGTCAGAACTTGGCTTTGGGTCCAACAAGACTCAGTCCCAGGCCCAGGTTGGTCCTTAGTTGAGAGAGGCCACGTGTTTATTTCCTTCCTTCCACTCTGGCTGCTCTAATGCAAAACATAACAGTGCAGATCCCAGAAGAAAGTCGTTAGGGTTAAATGAAGTAATAATAGGAGCCAACCATTCCCACTTAGGGAAACTGAGGCCGAGGAAAAGGTAGAGGGGCCATTGTCGTTATTATGATTGTCTGGATGTCGTGGAGAGTGTTGGGAGTAAGAGATAAAGGCAAGGGCACATTTAACAAGTGAGTAATCAAACTCCCTGTAAGTTCTGGGGGGACCAGATCTTGGGATAACATGGTTGAAGGGACACAGGATCTGACAGCTAGAACAGAGGTCACTTTCACCTCCTTTTCTAAAGGCCTAGATCAGGCTGTCCTTCAGCTTGGTAAACACAGTAGGATCCAGGGCCCTGTTACCCTACATCATCAATCAGAAATCCCCCCGTGTGTCCTATAATGCCAGAAACTACATTGGCAATTGGACAGAGCCATAATAACACAAGGGACGTGTAAAAAGTGAAATGATGCTGTTACTTAGAATGGAAGAATTTCAAATCCAATCAGCCTACTTGGAATTCTGGATAGGGAGGGAGGAGGCCAGTTAGTAACTAACGTAGACTGATAGTAGCAGAGAGATGGGCAGATACAATGCGAGGGAGGAGATGCAGCTGAGATACCAGGTCTGGACATTCAGAGTTTTCTCAAGAAGCTTTGAAAGGTGGGACCCTGCGTCAAAAAAAAAGTTACTGAGTGTCTACTGGGACTTAGCCATGGTGGTAGGTGTTTGGGTGAGAGCAGAAATCAAAAGCGACATTCAGAAATTCCCGGAGACTTTACTCACATCTCGCTTTTCCTCACGGAAATGGGTGTTACTTGTTTACTTCAGAGAAGCTTGTGAAGCCAGAGCTGTGGTGTGGGCCTGTAATCTTGGCTATTCCGGAGGCTAAGGCCCAGGGCCTGCACGTTCAGGCCTGACGGGTTCACAGAGGGAGTTCAAGGCCAGCAGGATAGCGCAGACGATAGCATGGTAATAGAACACTTTCCTAGGACATGCAGGGCCCTGGGTTCAATCCTCAGAGCCACAAACAGGAAACAAAGCCTGAAATGCTTATGAAATGCTAGTGCGCTGTTTTAAAATTGAAAAGATAACTATTTTTGCATTGATCTTGACCATTTCTAGGGCTCTATGCCCTGTTAAAGACACATTTTTGAATATTTAAGAGGAGGATCCTGCATCTAAGGCAGTGTGACATTGGCTAATGTGCCTTTCTATAGCTCGGACTGAGAAACAGAAGCTGACCGTTGGACTGGCCTGTGCCTAGATTTCACTTGAACTGTAGTTAAGTGTTATAAATATTGCATTTATTGGAACCTTACTATTGTCTGTTTCAGGGCCGGCTTGACTCTCTAACAGAAGTGGATGACTCAGGGCAGTTGACTATCAAGTGTTCTCAAAATTACTTGTCTCTGGATTGTGGCATCACTGCATTTGAACTGTCAGACTACAGTCCCAGTGAGGATCTGCTTGGTGACCTGGGTGACGCAACCTCCAGCCAGGGCAAAACTAAACCTTTTGACTCTTGGAGCTACAGTGAGATGGAAGAAGAGTTTCCTGAGCTGATCCGAAGTGTTGGGTTGCTGACTGTGGCTGCTGACCCTGTCCCTTCGGGCCGTGAAGCTCTCAAGGAGGACTCCTCTCAAATGTCTCTGTCAGAAGAGGGCAAAGGTGGAGGTCAGCAGGACGATGCTTCCGCAGCTGAGGGGCAACCAGGCTCAGCACCCGGGACACGCTCCTCGGGAGACGTTCTGGCCGATGCTCGGTCCTCTTCGGAGACTGAAAAGCAAGACTCTAATTCTTGCCCACAGCTTGGTGCAAAGAACCACCGGCCTCTTCCTTGTGAAAATACAACTCCCAAGAGGTCCATCAGAGAGTGCTTTCACTATAATGAGGACTCTCCCACGCAGCCCACACTGCCGAAAAGAGGGCTTTTCCTGAAGGAAGCGGCTTGTAAGAACGGGCGGACGGGCAGCAGAGGCGAGAAGCAGACGGTTGATCTGAACCCCGAGCTGAGCAGAAGCACCCCGGCCCTGGCGGACGCCCCGGACAGAGCCAGGCTCTGCCTGGCCCTGCAGCCCCCCTCCTCCGGCCCCGCGGCTGCCAGCCGGTCCTACGAGTGCTTGCACGAGGTCGGGGTTGGCGGTCCCGAAAACGCAGTCAAGAGCCACAGCGAAGAAGCCTCGCGCAGCCTGGGAAGGCTCACCGACTGCCGTGAAGGGAAACCTCGCCTGAAAAGGCCGCGGGTGGGTTCCGAAGAGCCCGGGCCCTGCCGGACGCCGAACCGAGGACCGGGTTCTGGAAAGCGAGCTGAAAGCGCCGGGAGCTCGGTGCGGCCGGTGCCTGCGACGACAGGACCCGGGACGGACTCGGCACCCGCATCCTCAGCACCCGCATCCCCAGCACCCGCATCCCCAGCACCCGCATCCTCAGCACCCCCCGCATCCTGCACCCGCATCCTCAGCATCCGCATCCTCACCACCCGCATCCTCAGCATCCGCATCCTCAGCACCCGCATCCTCAGCATCTGCATCCTCAGCATCCGCATCCCCAGCACCCGCATCCTCAGCATCCGCATCCTCAGCACCCTCATCTTCAGCATCCGCATCCCCAGCGGGGCGGCGCGGCCAGACCGGCCAGGATGGGCAGGGGCCAGCGCGGCCAGACCCCTCCTGTTCACCATCCTTCACTGACGACGGCA